TAGAGACGAACACTCATTCTGGAAGAATCACACGCCATCATGGGGCGTCAGCATATTACTGGCCAAGGAAAGAAGCGCACAAAGCCCAGCGTGTTGCCGTCGCGTAAAAACACAAACTGGATGTGCTTGTTTACATGGATAGAGGCTACAGCCTTAATGATACGATCGCTGTCTTCTATAGTGAGTTGTCCGGGAGTGATACAAGAGCTGTGACGGAATGATTTGGAGGTTTGCCAACCGCCCAACCACAAAGTTAACTGCCTCAGAAGCTTCGAGAGAAAGCGTACTGCGGTCGCGGATTGGCCAATTACATTCTCCGCGTTGGAGTGACTGGGTCACTAAAACGGACACCCGAACCTTCGGTCATCCTAATATAACCTGACCGAAGTCTCCTGAATTAGGTTAAAGTAGGTTTATCCTTACATAGCGAGGTTTCGTTCGGACCCAGGAATGATGGTGATTCGTACTTACGCGAACCTTCGTTCAGACTGACAACAGTGTGTAGAAGCGACCGAAGAGTGTCCCACCAGGATGGTTTATACTAGGATTTTTGTATAGGAGTAAGACTCATCAATTGATGAGTTGTAGAGAGGCTCTTAGAGCCTCCCATTATTCAGTAATAAAAATGTAGTTCTCCCCCACAGCTAACAAGGGTCAAGTCCGTCTTCGGTAAGTCTAGTTAGCTTATCTTAGAACCAGGATACGCCTGGTTTTGTGAATACCTGTTGATAGACCCGAAGTACATTGAACCAAGGGTCTGCCTGCTAGGTAAGCTCAATAGGAGAGTGTGGATTTGCATAGAACGTTAGCGAAAGCTCGTTCAGTGTGGATTTGTGTGGACAGAGGGTTCCCATATACACTAGACTTCATACCGAGGATTCCCTCGGTACCCCTGTATTAGGTTTGCAAAAACTGGTACCCTTCCTTCTGAGGGACTGCAGTGGACTTGCGGGAGAGCGCTAAATATACTTCCTAGTCCTCATTCGTGGCTAGGTAAGTTTCTTAAGGGCTAACCAAAGGCATACCAACCCGGTGTAAGGGATCGTTCCTGGTCTTCAGGCATTGATCCAACAGTCGCTTTGCTTTGCGGGGAAGCGTGTGCTGTTGGTAGAAACTCACCCGAAAAAGAGTGTCGAACTTTGTCTCCGAGTTTTATGCTCACTCAACGGTGATAGGATAATGTATTGAAGATGAAGCGCTATTTATAATGTATGTTGGGTTCATGAGGCTGGGACCCTTGGGCAAGGAGAGAATTCACTTCTGGAACTTCCATCTCCCGGCCAAGTGCCACTGACCAAGACCCCGGAGCCTTTGGCCCCGCCATCCCGCGTCCAAGTCCTTCCTACGTGCTTTGCTGACCAAACGATAGAGAGAATTCTATCGTGTCCTACACGACAACTGGTGCCGCGACCCGGGATTGGAAAACCCTTTTGTGTGTTTCGGTTGTATTCAGGTTAGACACCTGACGAGTTTTTGAGAGAAACGGAGAGAAGAAAAGCAAGTCAAGCTGGCAAAAGGAGACAAGTTAGCGGTACCTGTGACGCCGATGAAGTCGAGTGGAACGCGATCCGAGGCTTTGTGGCGCTCAAGGAGATCGTATTCGACGCCAACGACTTCTCGTATGACGCCGATTGCCGAACGCTCTGTAAGGTTCGACGATTCGGTTGATGACTATGATACCAAGGAACGATGAAGATGCCTACCTGGATGAAAAGGCACTTGTGGCAGAACGTTTAGAAGGCGCTGAGGTTTCAGTAGGCCACAGCACAGGGGTGAGGGTACCCGCGCGCAACCTCGCCGAAGCGTTGGAGGAAGTGGCCGGCCCGGTCGTAGATTCTGGGTCCGACGGAGCAAAACCCGGCGACGACTGGAAAAACATCTCAGTCAACTGGCTTTCGACCTCCAATCAACGGAGACACGCCGGGAGCCGACAAGGGTATTGGCAAGACCTTGGAATTAATGATGACGAAGAGCAGCTGAATGCAAATGTTTGGACCAACTCTCGTTCGACAAGCAGTGTGAATGAACCTTGGAGGCGAGTTGGTCGTGCCAATCGACACAACGAGCACTCGTCAAGTAGCTCAAGATACGTGAGGGCTATGGAGTGCTAAACTCTGAGGTCTAGCGGACGCCGCACTCGACGATGCTGGTACAGCCTTACTTACGTGGAAGAAAAAACTACGCGCGGTATTCGGGGTGGAAGAGATTTCCCCAAGCCGTCAGGTGGTTGCCCGTCAAGCTTTCATGCCAAGGGTCCTCGTACATGCATGACTCGCACATGGTGACTCCGCGGTCCGTAATTCGCTAAGAACGGTTTGTGAAGGAGAACGAAGGTTCGAAGCGAACGCCTAACACTTACCGGGGCCAAACCCAGCAGGCGGAACGACGCTATAATCGAGGTTCAGGCATCGAAGAGACGCCGGATCAAAGCCATGACGTGCTCGATGAGCGGGTGGGGAAGGATGACGTCCCCTTCCAAGTCATGAGCCACGCTATCAGACTTACGAGAAAGGCGGATCAGAAATGTCTGGTGTTCCTGTGGGATCGGATCCCGTCTCCAGGTCGGTTTCCAAGTTCAAGTCCCGATCCACATGTGACACATAGTCTCCTGAAAACGATCTGGAGGAGGAGAGCCAAGGATCGGATACCGACACTTCAGCCGAAGGCGACATCGACGAGATCCTTGATAATATGCTACAGACACAGACACTGATGGCTCTCTCTCGATCGCGATCTGAGCAGTGGCGACGTGATCATGCTGCTCCTCGTCGCACCGGTGCAGGTGGAGCTGGAGCTCCTCGATCGGGCGGTGATTCTGATGGCGAAGCCTCGAGCGATGGCGACGGCGGTGGCGGATCTCCTGCGGATCCGGCTGAGGTACCTCTCCCACCCACGATGCTTCCATGACACCAATTCGCTGCAGATCATGAATGCATCCCTGGCCGTCAGGAGACAGGTCAATACGACAGCGCTGATGTGAATCCGTGGGGGATCCAACGGATCAACACCCTGACCATTAGGACCATGACCCTAGAGGTGGTATCTCGTGCGCTACCGTTTCTCCCTGAGTAGATCTTCACTGATCACGTTCCTCGGACGGCCACCCCAAGATCATATCAGTACTGTAGCCATCTGATCACAGGCCAAAACGTTTGCGATCTCATGGCCGCATTACCCTGGAACGTTCTCACCGGTGCCAATATACCAGAGCCAATGTCTTTCGAGATCACGGTCGACAGTCGGCTGGTGTTCCTTATCGAGAGATATTCTGCGGTGGATTTTCAGGATCAAATCGCGTACTGGGCGTCGACGCACCGTTTTCCAGTTTCACCGGCGTTGGTGCGCAGCGATCCTTATCTGACGCTCTTTGTCGTGGAGAGGAAGAATCGTCGATCTCACGCTGGCGCCAGGTGGAAGCAAATTCTGCGACCCTTCATGATCACCATGCGCGAAGGTTGGGGTGACCTGGATCTGCTGCTGGATCCGTATTTTCTCCACTTCCCCAAGCGATCGGATGAAGTGGCTTGGTATCCTGGCGTTGAAGCTCGTAGAGCTAACCTCGCAGATCCATAATTGCACCGCCGCGAATCGGCGACCCTGATCGAGGCCCTCGCTTAGTGTGATGCTGCGGATCCTTGGCGCACCCACTAGAGACTACACCACCCAGACCACCCCGCTCGTCGGATCGCGCGTCTCGCAGGCAAGGTTTTAGCATGGCAGCTCTGAACCCCAATGCGCCGCCACTTCGCCCATAGCAGTGATCCGGACACCTCTTCCTCATCCCATTCAGATCATAGCTGATAACCGCAATACACATTGTATTCTTCTCTGATCTTGGTTCGTTGCTATTCTTTGATTATGCTAAGCTCCCAATCATGTTGTCTCACACAGATCTTCGCCCCAACATGTCATTCGTCATCTGATCTATAGTTGCACAGATAATATAGTCATAGATCCACACTCGGATTCCATTTTGTTCGCTCCCACATCAACCTCTGGATCCAACTTATTCCACATAGATCTTAAATCGGCACCTTGTCGTATACAATGCTATGTAACCCTGTCCTTCGATCTGCAACCTCCTTGCAGATCCATCAACCTTCAGTCACATCAATGACCACCTCACCAGTATGGATCCAGAACTCACGGTGCTTCGTGAGATTGCATCACACTAAACCGGGTACAGTTGGTGCGGTCTCGCAGAAACTCATACAGTAAGGCACTTCAGTTGAGATCCGCTTCATCCACCTAAGTCGGATTTTCATATCCACACCAGTGTATCAGGAACTCTCGATAGATCCGTCCATATCTCGTCCTTTTGCCACGGAAATTCGATCCACTTCATATTCATCTGGGTCTCGACCTTGGTTTCAACTGTCTTCAGGTAAGAGGGCTCCATCGAAGTCAATTCGATCTGCATCCCACTCCTCTAGGCGAGCTATAGGTCGATCTGAAAAAAAAACCTGACCGGTTTGATCTTCGACACATGTACCACCGGAAAGATGCTGTACATGATCCTGCAATCTCCAACGTCACTGCATATTCTCCAATCTTCTCAGCGACATGAAAAGACCCATGCCATAAGTGCACCAGTGTCTTCGCATATCCTTCACTCACTCGATCCAAGTACAACCAGACTCTTGATTCAGCCTCCACAGGGTGTCGTCGTACCAGATCATTATGCGTGTCGGCTCGATCTGCTATTGCCACGCGCAAACGTTGGTTAACTTGTTCCCGAGCCTGTTGGTAATACTTTTGCATCTGATATCGTCACCTTCTTGGATCTCGATCATGCCTGCGAGTGCATCCCACCGGGACCACCCCTTCCAGAGTGAATCTATGATCACAACCATGTATCATGTAGAAAGGAGTTTTGCCTCGAACCGATCTCTTGCGGTGTTCATCGCGAAGGTGCGTCGTTCGGCGTGTTTATCCCAATCACGTTGATTCAGATCCTGCACGTACAGCTTGAGAGCCCTGGTGGTTGTTTGGACCATACGTTATGCAGGTCCATTAGCTGGGGCTCGATAAGCCATAGTAGCAGGTTGGCGTTGATCCAAGATCTTTTTGAAAGACTTGAAGAACTCAGACATGAAGCCTGGCTCTCGATCGAGCCGGATCACTTCGCTCGCGTCAAATCTGTGGAAAACACATTCTTCGTAGGTCTCAGTTATCGTCTGTGCAGATCTACAGGCGCTGGCCTTGGTAATCACGTATCCCGAGAATAGATCTACGAAGATCAACAACTCCGTGTTGCCATTGAAAGATCTGGGCAGCGATGGTATGTGACCCATGTCAATGATCTGACATGGGTATGTTGCCCAAAGGTTACCAGGCGACTCACCCTGGATTCGAGGACGTCCTTTGCCTGTTTCACAATTGACACACCCTCCCATATATCGTTGTACACTCTTATACAGCCCTCTCCAGTGGAAGTGATCGCGGATCCGATCATAAGTTAGCCCGATTTCCTGATGACTACCTTGCAGACTTGTATGATAGTGATGCAAAATATCTTTGTGAAACGTCTCAGGCACCACTAATCGCATCAGCTTGTCTCGATCTGTAGCGGCCTTCTTAGTTGTCGGGCAGTAGAAATGTAGATCCGACTGGTCCACTTCGTAATTCATCGCGCTAGATCCAAACACCTTAGCATCCTCTTGTGTCAGATCCCGGATTTCTCCAACCAAATACTTTTTCAGGCCGGAGATCCATGACTCCTCATCCTGCGCTTGCCGGATCCGCTCAATCTGCGGTTCTCTCACGATTTTCTCACGCAGTGAATCTGGATCAGATCATATACGCACACCAGATCTAACCTTAAATCGGGTAGTTACAGCAGATATCTGTGCGATCACGTCTTCGATCTTCTTTACCAGGATCTCATCCAACAGGTTTAAGGTCACTAGATCCTGGATCTCTTTTTCAGCCTCAACCTCGATCCCACATTGTCTTTACAAAGCAGCACTTGCTAAGCTGTCGCCACTCCCATTTTAATCTCGTTTAACATGCAACAGCTCGTGATCCGGCCAAGTACGTAGTCGGTCTAGAGCCCCCTGGCGTAGCAGTGTCAAACCTGGTGCCTTACAATCGATCTTACCTCGTACTTGTCGGATCACCAAGTTTGAGTCTCCGCGGATCACCAGACGCCGTGAAACCAGATCTTCCAATCAATCCATACACAACAGTAACACATGCTATTCTGTCTCGTTTACTGTCAGACCTTCAGCGTATCCAGATCTAGCCTTTAACACCTTCCATTCAGGCAATTTCTACACGATCACGCTATAGGCGCCTCCACCTCTCTTGACAGGAGCGGATCCATCGAAACTAAAGGCGTATAGATCCTTGTCGCGTTCAATAGTGGGGATCGGAGCCTGGATCTTGCGCCGTTGGCTTTTTTAGGAGCAATCGAGATCAACGCCTTATCCACCTGTGATCTAGGCGTAATACTCGCCGCTAATGCTCCCAGGATCTCATCTTTATCTTCGACACACTTGGTGATCTTGAGAGTCCACGACGACAGTAGAGCAGCCCACTGACCTAAACGTCCCTGCAGGGCTGTGGATCTGAAGAGCCACGCCAAGGTAGAGTGTCGGGTCAACACATGGATTGGACATCCGACCAGAGCATTTTAGTAAAGATCCAGGATCCTCAGCAAGGACAGTACCTCCTTCTCTGCGACGCCATAATTCAGCTGTTTTGACTTCAAAGTACGGCTCGCAAACATCACGGGGTAATAGATCTTGTCATATTCCTGCATCAACGATCCTGAGATGGTCCAGTCACTAGCATACATCACAACCGTAGCTCTTTGATCTGGATCAAAGTGCCGCTAGATCGGAGTAGTGGCGATCTTGGATTTAAGCACACTGAAAGATCGATAGGCATGGATCCAACGCGGATCCACTTCGGTGAGATCTTGCGCCTCCGGATCCAGAGTCTTTTGGTGGTCGATCGCTTGATCGTCCTATGATCCTGGATCCACACTCTCTGCCTCTAACACTCGTTGGATCTACGCTTGGGTGGGTTCCTTCGTCATCGCAGCAAAGTCGATTTCTCATAATTCATACAGAACTGACGCGTAGATAACGTAGTCTTCGATGAATCGGCTGTAGTAGTTCAAACATCCCAAAAATGCCTGCATGGCTCTAAGTGATCCTGGGAACACTAGATCAGTCAGTGCTGACAGATCTTTTGGATTCTCCTCCATTCCATTGTGGGGGACGATATGGCCGAGATATTCCACCTGAGGCATTCCCCAGAAACTATCAACCACACTGATCGACATATTCCACTTATTACACGCTTCGAGCAAACCTTGAACTCGATCACATAGTTGATCCCGGTTTTGCTGGGCTCAGGATGCCATCGATGTATGATTTAGGCCCAAGCACTGATGGATTGCTTGGATCCACCTGTTCCCCGTTCTCAAACACATCCAAAGCACTTCCGTGATATTCCATATAGCGCGTTGTCGATCATACGTTGATAGATCTGGGGCGCCTTTGTCAAGCTGAAGGGCATTCGATTTCATTTCAAATAATCCAAAGGGAGTGATACAAGCCGAGATCAAAGGAGCACGATCCGTCATTTTCACTACCCAGAATCCACTCGCCATATCCAAAGAACAGTACCAGAGCGTCGATTCCAGATTTTCAAGTAAGTCGTTGATCAAGGGCATTGAGTAGATCATCAGCTCGGTTAGAATGTTAACCAACCGGTAATCGATGCACAACCACATATCAACTCCATTCTTATTGATGATCACCACGATCGGGGAGGCCCACGGTGGTCTGGAGTAATTAACCGTCTGGGCAGATAATAGACCCTTGATCAAATCCGCCAACTTCTCCCTGAACTAGATCCGCAACTTACGACACTTCTGGGCGATTGGCCTCACTCCTCAGACATCGATGTCACATCCAACACCTCGGGCGGCCGGCGGCAGGGCATTACCTTTGCCGATCAAGAGATGTCGGAACCTCCAGATTCTTTGGCGCAGTCGATCAATTTCTTCTGGAGTTTAATTGTCAGATCTACATAGCTGAATATCCTCGATCTTTACATCTTCCGTCGTCACGGGCCCTTCTGGCAGTACCACCATCTGACCGTCGACATCTTCCGCGTAGAGATCACTTCCTTTATGGTAGTATACACATTCATCATAACTTTGATCTGAGTCCGAGGTGAGCTCAGGATCCGACGCGCCTGGTTGATCTTCAACAACAGGTGGTGGACCCATGTCCATTTTTTGCGACATAGACGCGACGAATTTGTCGTTCAACAGATCACTGGCGACATGTCCTGTCCCAGACTGTACACTCATCATTAATTACGGATCTGATCCACCGCATTTCGACGGTGATGATCCTTGATCCTGACATCTCAAATGTAGTTGATCCTGGTTGGGGACTCTAATTCCATATCGACCTCCCTCTTCTCGCGTTTCCACAGCACTTGTAGTTTCTTCCAACGACGGATCAGTCGCCCAGGCGTCTGGCGTTACTTGATAGAGATCGTCAAGCGTCTCCTTGACCGTTACAAGATGCGATACAGAGTCTCTGTCTTCAATAGACGACAGATCTGACTTCTCACTTACGACAGACGCTAGATCCAACGGTCGAATCTCCGACGGCGAGTTGTCCGAAGGTAGCCATCCAGGAACATCTTGATCCTGACTCGTCTCGACGTTCCGACACTTGATCCATGCCGTCTTCGTCTTCTGGAGTATTGCACGCGGAGTCTCGTATTCATATCGCTCCACCGCGGGTACGAGCTGGACCTTGATCTCCATATCTCCGGATCGAGCGTCAGTCGTGGCTTCTACGGCTAGATTCTGCCGCTCCATGTAACGACGAGACCCGATCGAAATGAAACTCGTTATTCGTGGCACATGGTCTTCGGTCCGCCAGATCACGATCCGTTGACTCGATGCAGGATCAACACCTTGTCCCCGATGTTTGTGATCGAGATCTACTTCGTTCTCTCTAGTCCATTGGATATTGTCGGCATCCATCGATCTCCACGCATGATCCACAGCTTGTCGTGGATCGACGACCTCAGGCGCAATGGCAGTTTTACCGACTTTCTTGCTTGGATTCGAAAGTATTGGCCGACGTTTACGATCTTCGCCTTGTCGCTATAAAGCCGCCATTTCCCGCTAAGCTGGAGCCGGACTTCGTCCTGCAAACTGATCGATCCGTGAGCTAGATCCAGGTGAATCCCGGCTGGGGCCATGAAGTCCATACCCAGTATAGCTTGTTGGCCAGTCAGATCACGTACCCAGATATCAGAGAAATATACCAGTGATCCAGCAAGAGTCACCTTGATCCGGGTTCTTCCTTCTGTCCGGTACACATTGTCACCAATTCCCACGCAGTCCTGGATTCGACTCGAATCGATATTGCACCCAACCTTACGAACAAAGATGGTGTCCACAATGGACACTTCGGCGCCGGTATCGAAGAATAAGACCGCTTTCTCATTGTGGATCATGCCTGTGCTCTTCGCTTGACGAAAATCATTTACCTGGAGTTTGATGCTTCCAGTAGCCTCGAGACTCTCCCGGTAGTAGATCCATGGTTGTTGACCGTCGATACTCTGAGATCTTATAAGGTCTCTTGATCGCCGAAGTAACCTCGTGATCTGTGGGTTTAAACCATAGACCTGGATCCTGTTGTCTCCAACAACCTCGTGATTCTCCTCGCTGGAAATCCACACTCATGGTGACTTCGGATCTGGCATACTCGTCGACTTGGCGCAGACTGGAAAGTGCGAAGGTATGTTTCCCATGAAGATCACATGTATTACGGTGTAGATCTGGTCGTTTGCTCCGATGTTTTGTTCACAAATACATAGATGCAATATCTAAAACGCTCGGGTCGCATCGGATTCCACCTCGACAAACGTCCTAGTTTAACATTTTCTCAGCAGCTTCGGGTAACATACCAATGTGCTTCGTGGGATTAAACCACTGTCGAATCTGGTTGTACAACTCTTCCATCGGACATTTTCCCATGTCATGCAATTCTCCACATCCGCGACACACGAAGAGGCAGTGATCCGAGGGGTGTCCTCTCTTGCCGTACTTCGTGCATGTAACATGGCCCCACCAACCAAGATCCGAGTGCTTCCTAGATCCACAGTGCGAGCATCGGTCACGGTTAAAACCATTACCGTGAATCTTCGCGTTGTGATCTTGATGGCCACGATCACGGTCTAGAAGTCATGGATCCAGGTTTGTCGACTCCTTTTCCACCTTCAGGGTAACGTCTTCCTTCGCTGCAAGGAAGATCCTGCGATGATTATCGATGTCCGAGTCGGATCCACCCGATCCATCAGATTCACTGTCAGATCCAGAGTCGTTAGCTTGGATCCGGATCGCACGACCTTGTTTCGCTGGAGCGGAGGGGCCGCATTGGTCGTCTTCTGGTGGTACTTGCCAGATCCAAACGCAGCTTTTTTCTGACGATTCTTTTCTCGATACCGAGTGCGAAGGGCTTCTTCGAGATCATCCGCGTCGGTCAACCGTAGCAGGATTAACCGTTCTGCCAGATTTTGATCCTCAAACGCCTCGCTATAATGATTCACATGTTCACGTCGGTCTTTCCCGCTGCCGCCCTTGACCTTGGGTCGCGCACGGAGTCGTTCCACGTAAAGACGAAACAAGTAGTCCAGTGGCGATTCGTCAGATCTGCGACGCGTATGGTAGTATTGTCTTGCTACCGATACTCCAAGCCCACAGTACTGGATCTGGAAACTGCGAAGCAGATCACTATATTTGTTGCGAGTGGATCTGCTCAACTGACGATACCAGTTCTTGGCGGATCCAGCGAGGAGATCTACAAAGTTCAGACACTTTTCATCACCCGATGCCGGATCTCACATGAACCCAGATTTCATTTTGCTAATCCGCCCCTGCGCTCGATCCTCGTCTTGATCCTTGCCAGTGAACTCCTTGCGATCCGAGATCGCCGAGATCCGGCCACGCTGTATCATAGTAGAATCTGTGGATTCAGAAGCAGCGGTGGCCACTGTAGCTTGTGCAGAGGTGGGAAAGTCTACATCGTCGGGATTGTACTCTAAGCGAAATCCACGATAGGAGAATCGAATGGATTCCATCTCGACATCTTGTGATCCTTCATGCTGTGGACGCGTAGTAGCTGGATCTTTGTTTGCTTCGCGTTTGACGTGGAGCGACCACGGAAATCCGATCAAGTGTGACTAGGAGCCGGATGATCGATTGAAAGGTGTAGATGGGTACAAGACGTGTCGCACTTGGTGTGACGAGCATACAAGTTGAAGTTGGCTGTGCAAGCCAAACCCTACCCTACACCTCGATCTTCGATCAACGGGAGGGACTTCGCTCATCGATCATCCTTCAACAAGAAGTGTTTCGATCAACGGCCATCGATCAACAGGTGAGGAATAGAAGGCCGCAGGCGGGATGGGCAAGGCTGATACGGGTACAAGGGTAGCGCATGTAGGTACAGTTCAGGATGAATGGTTGTGGACATAGGATAGGGAAAGATAGGCAGACTTCTAAATATTCTTTGAACCTTTCATATTGGACCCCTTCTGCTTTAGCCACGTGGCATCCTCTACCAGGCTGGGAACGTATATTGGCCCACCTGATGACCAAGGAACCACCCCGCTTTGCAGCAGAACAACTCGTCGACACCTACGCCGCTTGACTAGGCTCGACCAAACACCCCCTCAAAGATCCCGCTAACGGAAGCAGCAAGCAACGGAAAGGATCAAGAAACACACAAGGATAGGTCATCTGATCTCCCCCCCCCCCCATACCAGACAGCCGCGTGAAGAAGTATCCGCGCGACAGTCAACAATCCCAAGTACCGTCCATACGGTTCCCACGCCCAACCCCAAGGAATCCTCAAGTCACCGGAAGAGTGCAACCCCGCCCCACCGAAGGGTAGACAAGGTGAGAAGAACCTCAGCGTCAGCAGACATTCGGAGTACCCCCTCCGTTAGTCGGTCGTCCGAGGCACTGTAGCGAGCTGGACAAAGGCAGTCAGCAATTTCTGCTAACCCACTCCGCCACACGTTCTTCGGCCAAGTATCAGTCCATTGCAGCATTGAAGAAGTTTTCCAGGGTACCGATCGATCGATCCGAACTCTCAGTGGCTGTGACTTGATCTGTCGGTGCGGATCCATTGTCGCGGCGACTGATTCTAGTTGGACTAGAGCTGGATCTCGCCTCCAGTATCGATGCTCTTGAGGGCCCTAGGGAGGCGGTTCCGAAGAGGTGTCGGATCAATCTTCCGCGGCTGATGCATAATGTCCCGACACTGGCAAGTTATCAACGACGTCGGTCGTGGTTAATGGCAGTGAATCTGAGCTCTGAGGCACCTCGCCGACTAGGATCTTTAACTTCTGGAACAGATCGCGACTGGTGGCTTGGATAACATTGAGATCCACGTCGAACAGAGCGTCTGCATCGAAGGATCCAATGACCATACCAGCTTCTTTCAATAAGCGGATCAGCTCCATTGCTACATCAAATCGGTTGAGTTGTGTTGCGGTAACAGTCACAGGCCCCTTTGGATCCGCGATCCGCTTGCGTTTCAGGATCCGCATCACTGGCACCTGGTCCACGAAGTCACGTAGCTCCTTTCGGTGATACTTGGACTTCAGATATTCTTTAGACCAACCAGATCCGTGGTGATCTCGTCTTCCTCGTCATCTGGCGCTTTCATCTTCTTCAGCACAGGCTTGGATCTTGGCTTCCCGTTCTCGGATTTAGAGACTTGCGTGTCCTTGAGCAGATAAAGTGTTGGCTTATCCGGATCAATGAATTAATACGGTTTAGCCTTCACCTTTATTTGTTTTGTTAGCAGATCTTGACACGAGTCAAGACCCGCAGGGGTCCCCATGTCGGATACCTGTGGAGGATGCCGTTTCTCTTCCATATCTGGATCGAGATCCAGATCGGCCTCACTTCCGTTGACATAGTACCTCCTGGCACTCTGTCGATCAGCAGATCTAGCGTTCAGCGATGGCGTCGTCGATCTGGCATCCGACGACATCTCGTTCCCTTGTTCAGTCTTCACTTGAACTTCTTCTTGAGACTCACGGTGAAATCCCAAGTCACCAGATGATCCGGGGCACGCGCACCATTGTGGTGGAGCGGGAACAGCAAAATTCTTGAGAATACTGGATCCGGCTTGCCACTGTGCCAGGACACAGACTATAGGAGGGGTACTCCTGTTGATCCGTGATCAGCTGAACTTTCTCACCTTGTGTAGGGCTGGATCTTGCTCCTCCGGTAACTGCAGGAGAGGTCCAAGTGTTGAAGATCTTGAATGT